CGCTCTGAATCAGCACTGCTTGTCCACTATCACGTAACACTGTCTTTCACAAAGCTGCGCCTCGTACATATTACTGTGTTTTCGGTCCTAACAGACTGCAAATTTGATACATTTGAATCCGTTCTCAGCTTTAAAGAAACTACTTTAGCATGAGGTCATACGGAGGCAGTATGACCTCTGAACATTGGTTAACATTGACCAGACTACACAGCGCAACAACCCAGAAGACGGAAATCTTCATACTAAGAATCGCCCTGATGACGGAGGCAGTATGACCTCTGAAACGTTGGTTAACATCGACCAGACTACACAGCGTAACAACCCAGAAGACAGAAATCTTCATACTCATCGCCCTGATGACGGAGGCAGTATGACCTCTGAAACGTTGGTTAACATCGACCAGACTACACAGCGCAACAACCCAGAAGACAGAAATTTTCATACTCATCGCCCTGATGACGGAGGCAGTATGACCTCCGCAACGTTGGTTAACATCAACCAGACTACACAGCGCAACAACCCAGAAGACAGAAATCTTCATACTCACCGCAGTGAGAACCTCAAGTCTTACTTTAGCATGGATCTGGCTTCTAGAATACGGAAACTAAATTTACTGCAGTCAAAAATCGAAGTGCCTTTGACAATTTTAAGGACATTTAAACCTAGGAGGAATAAAGTAACATGGATTCTGGAGGAAACTGCATAATGAGGAGCTCCATAATTTTTACTCTTCGCCACGTATTATAAGGGTGACAAAAACAATGAGGATGAGATGGGCGGCGTATGTAGATTGCAAGAGGAATATAAGATATTGCTAAAAATGTTGGTTGCAGAACCTTGGGGTCATTACAGATTGTGAGCGTCATCAGATCCAGAGGCCTATGTTGAAGAGGACTCGAAGACCAACGTTGTGTAATGTGCGGCTTTCTGAAATACAGCGATAATGTGTTAGACATGTCGGAGCTCGGCGGTTTGGGTAACTAATGAAAATTTGACTTTCTTTACTGCAGTGGGTTTCCTTAGTCCTTCAGACGCAAAAAGCTTTCACTTACGATGAATCTGGCACAACGGACCTCTGAAGTTGATACAACGTCGTTAACAGATTTATGCTTTCACTGTCATTCTTCCATACGTATTCAAGACGGACAGACAAACACGAAACCCTTGAAGTTTTGTGTCATGGCGGATGTTTTGAAAATTGTCCAACCTCCCAGCCCTTTTCGATAATTCTACACCTTTCGGTTTTCATCCCGACATTTTCTTGTGCGTCAGTCCGTCGCAGATGCTTTTATTTGTCACGCTGAAACTAACGGAAGTCCCTGGATTTTCACCTTACCGTCACCTTGACTATCATTATAGCACGACGCGTAGGTTATACCTCGGACGGCCAAAGCTTGTCGGACGACAACATTTAGAATCAAACGCAATAGGCCAACGGAAGATTTTGCGGCATATGTAATCTTCGTTCCAAAAATACCCGCTACCTGCGTACCATGCCCGACAATTCCTGATTAACAAAATATTCTTCAGATGATGCTTCCAGCTGGTCAAGTATTACGGACGGACTACGTTCGCAAGGTTTCGCCAGCCGTGATTATGTAAGCGCCAAATGGATTTGTTGCAGAGGACGCAGCTGTGCGCCCTCTGCGGAGCTCAGCTGCCATTCAGCAGCTGGACGGACAAGCTCTGTTAACTGGGGTGCGAACCATTAAAACATAAACTACTAATCAAACTGAACTGGGATAAGTTCAGTTGAAGTGATTGAGGTTTGCGATGGACGAACGTCCTTCGACTCCCGGGAGAGAAACCGGCTGTGGGGTCCGCCCAGTCTTCTATCCAGTGAGTAAAGCGAGCTCTTTCTTCGGGGGTAAACCGGCGGAGGCTGATGATTCAACTCCATCTATGTCGAAGTTAAGAATGCATGGAGCTATCCCTCTATTTCCCGTTCCGTCTTTATCTGAGTGGCTTAATTAAAGGTACAATTTGGCTGCACGCGACAGAGACAAGCGACCGAGGCAGGCGACAGAGACGGGAGACGGACACATCGCAGCTTGTCGCCACACACTTTTGAGGTGACGACCGAGACATGCGGAAAAGTGTTTGTTTTCTTCGTTTTGTTGAGACATACGTGCACATATTCTGTGAAAAATGAGTACACAAATGCTTCTAAAAAGGTTACTCGAAGAATAAGAAGAAGATGATGTGTTGCTGTGTTATTTGTTGCGAATGAAACAAAGAAAACCTATGAGTTCAATATTCAAAACCAGACGCGAAGAAGGTTCTGTCTGTCGGTGGTCGGTTTTCTGCTACTAATTCTACCAATTGCTCATCTTAATTTAATTTCTGCCATTATTTTACTCAACAACACACGTGCTGCCTGAGCCCGTCGCGAGACACTACTGGTCCGAGAGCGGTCTCCTGTGCTTTGTCTCTGTCTCCTGTCTTTGTCTCGCGCTCGTAATTGTACTTCATACGATTGTACAGAGAGCAGATAGCAAGCGACCAGTCTCGGTCTCGTAACTCTGTCGCCTGTCTCTGTCGCGTGCAGCCAAATTGTACCTTAAGCACAAACAAGTTTACGCGCATGTACCACACTTCGTTCGCGGTGTTTATTTACGATGCAGACGTAAACACATGACGCGCAAGGAGCAGTGAGTGAAATGCTGGTCACCGAATGGGAATATCACCACATGCGCTTCGCAAGATGACGTCTGTTGCTTATGACAGGGCAACACGCGTTAAAAAATACGTAATTACAGTGATATGCATTAAGTATTTTAATTCCATCGGGTCAGTGATTTGTCGTTGGTTGAGACAAGTGGCACCGAGAATGTTGCTACTGCCATGAAAACCCGAGGGGAAAGATTAATTTGTGTTACTTTTACGTTTTACATTTTTAATATGTTCATAAATTATTTTGATATTGGTTAAATGTTAGGTCCTTTGTCCCAGAAATCAAAACCATTCCAAATGGATGTTGAATACCTTAATAAGACCAATATTATATGTCCTGTCGCTTTTGAGCAACTTCCTAAGTGCGTTCGTCTCTACAGAGTGGTGCTGGGTGATTTTCCCTTGTCGGGGGCTTGCCTCAGCCCTTTCAGGAGGCGTTTACTGCCTCCATCATCAGGGCGATAGATGTAGAAGGAAAGAGAAACATTTCTGTAATTGCGCCCTTGAGGGAGCAGCCATTGTAAGCCGTGAAGCGATCAGAAGCCTTGACACGTTCTGACATGTTTATCTTCTTGTGAAAGAAAAGTAAACAATGTTTCGCCACTAATCTGAGTCAAGGTGACAAAGCAATCGCGTTATCTTTTGCTGGAGGACGCACGCGAAACATACTTCTTCAAGTCGGTGTGTAAAGAAGTTCTGTTGACATTCGCGTCACACCGTGAGTTCACTGCACGGATATGCAGCTATCAGATGTCAATGGAAGTGTGTAGATATTATCATGACTTGTATTCGAGGAAATGAATTTATTCCAGACTTCGGATCTGGTCGAAAGTAGCCCAAGTGGCCATCTTCACGCTCTGGCCGCATTGCTACCAGGCAATGGAACTCCGTTATCCTTTCCAAAAGAGGCTGGCTGAGATTCAGAACCAGTAAGGGTACAGAGTTGGCAAAAATAAAACAAAACCAGGCCGCCCAGGTCGTTCTCACTTTGCTGAACGATCTGAACTGGCGAATATGATAACAGACAGTACAGTACTTGGCCGTGAAGCAATCGCACGGAGTTAATTCGGTGTAATGGTTTTACATATCTCTTAAGACTATTATGCGTAAATGTCCTTTTACGATCCAAATGAAAAAAAGACATTCTGAGATTTGGAGTTCTCGTGACGGTGAAGATATTGATCGCGATCTTCTGGGTTGTGACGCCTCGTGGTGTTGTAGCCACGATCACACGGTGACATAACCCTACAGAAAACGAACGACAGGAATTATAATGTTCGATATGAGTTTCAAGTGAAGTTTGGATAATATTGGACTCATACGACTAAAACTGTATTCTTCCTGTAACATTCAGGAGGGTACAGAGTCCTCGGCGATGTTTTGCACGACCCGCGTACAACTTTGTAATGTGTCATGTCGTTTGACGGATAACATTTTACCTCACATCAGAAAGTTCGTGTTACTAATATCGTCAGTATTTGGCATTAAATACAGCTGTAAGGAAGCGTTCAATTTAATGAAGGACGCAAATCAAAAACAAGGATGCATTTCACTTGGATGCTTTCAACTTGCAACAGAAATTAAACCAGATATTGAAAGACTAATCAAGCAAAAGCTGACGACTGATTTTGTTCAAAAATAATACTGAGTGTATGTAAAATTGCAGTAATACTTCTAATTAGAAGCAATTTAATAAGTTTCTACGGGTTTCAATAAATTAAAAATATATTACTTACGGCCCACGAGTCGATAAGAAAGGGGGACTGAGCCCCCTAGGTCTGTAAACGTTTGAGAACTGCTGTAGACCCCACAAAACCACATTTCACCAATATCGGTTGTGTAGTTTCGCAGATGAGATCTGCTGATTGGCACACACGACTTCATAATTATGCATTCCTTTAATTAACTTTGTGCAAAAATTAACTCCTAAAAATGGATCTTAGGCATGCGCTGCCCGGAAGTGAACTGGAATGAACTGGTTCAAGACAGGAACAATGGCGGATGCAGAGTTTCCTCAACAGCACAAGGAGAATTTTTTGATATGGGGACTGTATGTCTCGAGAGAGTGACTTACGCCCATTGTAAAGAAGTGGTTCCATTCATTGGATTAAATTACAAGAAACAGCTTTTACAGGCCTTAAATTTTGGCCACTGTAGGGCATAAACATTTTAGCCAATTTGCATTTGCTTTCATTGAAAGAACTTGTTAGTAACAGTACATAGATGGCCAACAATCAGCGTTACCAGCACTTCATGATGTAACACAGAAATTTATTTCACAAATGTTGACCCTCGAGGAACCATCGATGGGAAAGCGTCCTGGAGATTTCCACGAGAAGATAACAGAGATTTCAAACAGAAAAAGAGAATTAACATGTAGTTCTTAATTTAACTGGGTAATTTCTTGTAAAGAATGTTCCCGTTACAGATGTGGGAAGCGAACATTATTTTGTCGACAAAATCTTTCAAATAATTAAAATTACTTCTTCTTGTTTGGGACACCGTGAAACAACGCGTATGACGCAGTTCTAAGCGTTTATTCCGCATACTACGCACATTAGTGCGCCAACTGTGCCGCAAGGGGTGTACGAACTGGCGACATACATTGCGTCGCAGACCCACGTGCAGTGTGCAATTTTGGAGCCCAAGGTCGGTCCAGCGCAGTTCCCCCTGTCGACCGACTTACGTCACGCGGTGCTCAGCGCTGTGGCTGGCAGGCAGGCTCCGACCGGCTGGCACGCAGTCGAGGTGCGGCCATTGCCGGTTACAGAGGATGCCTCAGTGCGCTGTGGCCACGTGTAGAAACAACCATCGCAAGACCAAGGGGCGCCGAGTTCGATACCACAGGTTTCCGGCAGAGGACGACGTCAGGAGTCGTTGGGTGTCGGTGTGTGGCCGCAGCTTCAATACAGCCACAGCGCGGGTGTGTTCCCTGCACTTCTCACCCAACAGCTATGAGAGAGACGTGGAGCACGAACTGCTGGGTCTGCCCCCCAGAAGCCGCCTCAAGCGGGGTGCTGTTCCCGACCGCGCCGTACCCATCAGCCTGCCATCTCTTATCGGTAAATGGAAACAGCCACGTCAACGCCAGCAACAAGTGAGCACTTCAAAACGCGGAGGACGCAAACCCAGACCTCCAGAGCGCGAAGACGAGGCCGCGGCTGCTGATCGTGACGTCACTACCCGGTTCGACATTCTCCTTGCGTTAGGCCTCAAACCCATCAAGAAGAACCACCAAGATGGCGCCGACTACCGCTACGAGTAAGTCTAACACGAAACTTGAAACTTAGGATTAGTGGGTTGGATGTAGGCCAGGAGGGGAAGGGGGAGGCGGGAGAGGTGCGCCGTGCCTTGCGTGAAGCAGCCTCGATGTGTTCCGTGTTGGTTCACTCACACAATGTGCGTGTTGGCGGTAGCGTTTTGCAGGGGGCTTGTTGCACAAACTGTCCTCTTTCGAAGGTTATTCCGCGACAACGTATCACCTACAGAAGGTGGAGTTTAATATTAGAGTGGATCTTTGAAAAGCAAGGCGTGAAAATAGACTTGACTCGAGTGGTTCAGGGTCCAGTGTCAGGCTTTTGTTAATACTGTTATGAACCTTAGGGTTTCACAAAAGGAGATTTATTTGCCCAGAAAGTAACTATCAGCCCCTGAAGACCTTACACCATGGAATAAGTATCAAATAATAAGACTATTATAGGAAAAAGTTTAAAAAATGTGACGTGTCCCCCAGAACGTTAAGCTAACCTGACCTAGCGAAACCGAGCCGAAACAAAGCACTGGGGATCAAAAGGAGCCCTTGACGATGGGAGTAATTTTAATTTACGAAACGCATTCGGTTTTTTTACCTTGCCTGGCAGGTACTTGGTGCTTTGGGAAGGATACAAGATGAAGAGGTTGAGCTTTGGTTTTAAGGCATTAGAACTACGAATTGTCTGAGTAGAATTTATTCTCCTCCACATTGAAATGGGAACCAAGGATCTCCTGCGTTTATAGCTTGGCTCCTAACACCATAAGGGTGACGATCGGTGGCCGACGTGGGCCGATAAACTGGTATTATGTAGTGTATTCCAAGATAATACACGGGGAAACTCCTCCATGTCGCGTCCGATACCCCAAACCAGTGCCTCGTGAAAGCGAAGCAGTCTATGACCGCTTCGTATGCAACCCGCTTCTCGCGAGGTTGGGGGGAAACCTGAAGTGTGTACTGCAATCAGCTTGTCATTTTGTTTTTGTTTTTGCAATATCAAGAGGGGGCGAGCATATTGATTTCGGATACAGGACAGACACTATACCGCCATGTAGTTTCCACTCCTCGTTCAGAGGTTCCGAAACACCTGTAATGTTGCGCCAGAGTACCATACTTGTAATGGATGTAAACCGAGACACATCCGTGACCTCGGCAGTAGATGGAGGTGAATGGGCAAATCAGTTCCGGCCGCTTTAACCCCTTGAAACGTTTATGGTTCTGCCGTTCAGTAAATTTTCCGCTTTTTTGGAACCGCAAGGTTCTTTACCGTTTTCACAAGACCCCGCTATTGGACCTTAACCTGAGCCAGCTCAATCCAACCCACACCATATTTCTCTGAGAAGTTTTTAATGTTATCCAACCGTTCATGCCAAGACCCTCCCCTGGTATCTGGATTCTCACAAGAGGTTAAAGTAATAAAACGGTCCGTCGCTTGGGGGTTTACGCTGTTGTAAGTACACCTGACCTGTCTTCTGTGCCCGTGTGAGAAACACCTGCAAGCGAGCAGGGGCAACGGGAGAGACTAGCGAAATCTTACAACTCTGTTCACCACGATATGACGTGGACAGTTTCCCCTCGGGTACGAGGATAATAACGAGGGGGCGACGTATTGATCCGTTCAACACTTCTTTCAGCCGTCGAGGAACTGAACATGGCGGTGCACGTGGCGGGAACGTCCATGTGTCATGCCCTGTTTGGATCGACAGTGCAGAATTATTGTACAAATGGTAAGCTTCCTGCGGTTATGAGAGTGTTGGAGTTTCATTTAATATTTTCGTAGCAATGGGCGTGGGTAGCTCAGTATAGTGACTAGACTACGAGCTGGAAGACCGAGGTTCTATTCCCAGCAGTGCAGTTTTTTTGATCTTAGCTTCCACGTCCAGACCGTCTCTGGGCCCCACCCAGTTTTCCAACCAGTAGCTGCCGGTTTTTTTTTTCATCGGGGTAAAGCGGCTAGGTAATCACTTCTGTCTACACCCGAGCTTAAGAATGCGTCCGGCTATACCTGAAATCCCCCATACGTCTTCATGGCTTAGTGCCATGGACAATGTACCTTGTACCATTCTCATTCTAAATACATGGCACAAAGTTGAAATGTTGATGATTATTCAGATAGTCAAGAAATGTCACACTTTTAAGAAGCCTGAAGGTTCTGTACCGTGTTACGTTACGTCGCTACCCAGGTTCAAACCTCGGCCCGGACTCAGGTTTTTGGTGTTTTTCTCGTTTATCGTCAGATACCGGGATAGTACCTCAAAGGAAGTCACGACAGATTCCTTCCATGTCATTTCCAATTCATTATTCATCAATAATCCTATCAATCGACGCTGTATAGTCTGAACTACTGACAGCGTCGTTAAGACAACCATAAATAAAAACAATTCTGTGAGATATGAAGTTTTCATGACGGTGAAAATGGTGGAGTTGTTCTGGGTTTTGACGCCATGCCAGAAAATTCCACCGTTTCTGAGAAACATACAGTTTTCATCTTAAGGTGAAGACTTCAGCCTTGAAGATGGCGACAGTCCTGAAGACTTCAGCCCTGAAGATGCTGACAGCACGTTTCTTTTTCCTTCAAAGCGTTGGCATCTGCCGACGAGCCTACAAGGCACCTAAATCTAGAATATAATGTAAACAATAATGCGTTCGCAAAAAGCCCGTTTGTTGCTACTTGTCAGCTAGTTCGACCTCTTGACATGAACCGAGTTGTGCAGCGCGCACTTCAGCGGAGAAGATCTCAAGGTCATTGCTCATGTCTCACCGAATTAGCTGTGGTAGTATTTCTCATGATGTAGGGCCTGGTCCACCCATTCCTAACCCCACAGCTGAAGGACCACACCTTGCAGTTTTCCCCAAGTGCATATTCCACCTACAGGCGAATTCGTAGGTGTCATCCATATCTAATAGCCGTCATCTCCAGCAGCTCTGCTCTAGTAACGAAATTAAGGTGCTTCTGTACACGTAATTAAACAGAGAATGTTCCATTTGAAACGAAACCTTAACTACAACAGTATTTGTTAGCTTAAGATATCAAATAATACCAACTAATTTCTTTCATTTTGTATGTTAGGACAAACGTACAAGCTTTAGCCAACAACATGTCGATTTCCGCTCGAAGTCACAAAAGCACTTCCTGTGTCCAGAAGTTTTGTTACCAGTCAATGTAAAGTCTTATTCGGCACTCCCCTGCCGAGATACACATTTCTTAATGCTTCGTGAAATCAACAGACAATTTCGATGCGAAGTAATGCTCGTGGATACATTATATTGGCACCTGCACGGCTTTTGCGCAATTGCCGTGAGCAGTGGCTTAGCAACGTCGGTGACCTTGACTTGAGTGTCACGGGGGACATTGAGACGGCCTGCTTCACGGGATTTTGGCTTGCTTTTGATTTCAGTACTGCGTGAATATCGGTGGGACGCGTTTGAAATGGCACACTATGTAACAAATTATGTTACCCGAATGTCAACCATTAGCTAGCTGTACGCTCCAAAGGACGATCAACATGGGTTTTTCCTTGTACTAAGGACACGTGAAGTCCGACTATTTAAAGCCTTCTTGTGTCCAGCTACCTGTCGATTTAAACAGTTTCTTCTAATATGGCGTCTACGATCAAACTGTTACGCGGACTTTCCTTATACATAAGATGGCTGTGTTCTGGGTTGTAGCGCCGTGTAGTCTGGTAGAAGTTTACAAACATCTCAGAGGTCCTTGCTGCCGCCTTCATCAGGACGATGAGTAGGTAGTAACTACTCATCGCCCTGATCATGGAGGTATCGAGGACCTCTGACATGTCGTAAACTTCTACCAGACTAAACGGCGCTACAACTCAGAACTCCCCACCGTGAAAACTGCAAAGTATACTTTCCTTATACTTTCGTCAAAAATATCAAGACGGAGCCAGTCTGGTTTCAACAGCCAGTCCGGCACACGTAGTTAAGGCTTTAAAATTTCCCTCTCCTTTGTCGTTATCTGCCCCAGAGTTGCAGTAAAACCATACAACGCTTCAACCCGAACAGCGGAGCCAAGGCGAGTGAAGAATGCTCAGAATTCGCAGAGTAGCAAAGCTAGCAAACCTGCACTAGTGACTTCCAGCCGCGCGGAAATGCGGGATTGAAGTCCACCTGTGCCCTCGAGGCATGCAATTTGGTGACGGCTACTACGACCCGGTAGATGTTGAATTGCGAGTAACGCTGAGGAACGTGTATTGAGGCGGCATCAGATTCCTAAGACCAATGGTTGGAACAACAAGAGGGGACCATGTTCAGGATGAAGAAATTCAACAATTCACGGAGATAATAAGTGATATGTTTCTGTCCTGCAATAATTTATGTACGATTAAACTTCTTTTAGACAAATGAAAACTTTCGATTTGAGATTACCGACTTCTGAAACGTCCGTATACGTTTACCAGACTACACGATACAACACCGCAGAAGACAGCTATCTTCAGCAGGGAGAATAATAGTAAGGCTCTAGACCTGCAGTGCTCTGCATACTGTATGAACCATTCCTCAGATCCAGCTGTCTCAAGTGGTACATATGTCGTTCTCATTTGTTGTAATGACTGACCAAATGAAAGTGTTGAGGTTGGGAAACTGCCAAACCGCCCCGTCTAAACACGAAGTCAGCTCCTGATATCTCTCTTTGCCATAAATTTCTTCAGTACCTCTCCCTGTTTTAATTATCGCAGTTTATAAAGCAACAGGCGCTCTTTATACCAACTTACAGCAAAAGAAAAGTGTAGGTCGCTCTGTATTAACGACAAATTACTTTTAATTGTTATTGAAACGAGAAAAATACCGTATCATTATTTCGTACGGCGGGATGTTATAAACGTGTCCACTTTATTTCGTCTTGGAAGGTACCGATTTCGTGACAGCGAGAATCATTTACGTCGTGTATCCGAAATAAGCGAAAATTACTCTTACTAGGTCTTGCCCGGCCGATCCTTTGACAGCTAACAGCTAAGCTATACGTCTACATACATTTAAAGGTATTGAGAGGTGTCTTCTGCAAATTGACCGGGCTCAATGTGCCACATTCTTCCTAAAATACAAACTTAGGATTGTGTGGTAGGTGGCACCGGACACTCTGAGGGCATTGAGAGCAGAGTGCAAAGTGTAAGGTACGAACAGTAGCCTACGTGACGCTCGCCTAGCGAGCCGTTTCCAAACAACTCACTTCGCGGTGCAAAGTCCTGCTTCAGAAGTCGATAGTCGCTCAGCTGGTCAACAAATGCCCTGGTTTTTACGGAATATGACGGTTCTTTACTAGTCGCTCAGCTGGTCAACAAATTCCCTGATTTTTACGGAATATGACGGTTCCTTATAGTGAAAAGAAGGTCGCTGTGGGATGTATCATGTAGTCTGGTAGAATCTGACCGGCGTTTCAGAGGTTATAACAGTATCCATCATCAGGGCGATAATTTTATAAGCGACAACACAGTGCATCATATTAGAACACGGCCGTTTTCATATTCCGTTCCGTGAGAATCTGAAATCTCGAGAGTTCTTTTCAGTGTTCACAAGAGCACGCCACTGAACTCTGACCTTTCTGCTGTTCTCCAGTTAATACGGTCACCGAAGCAGCGGCTTCCTGGACGGTGAAACTGTGCAACATGTCCCGCCCATCTCATCCACTTTGACAGATCACCTTAAGAATATTTGGTAAAATTCCTTATCAGGTAATTCTCCATCTCCTGTTACTTCCTTCCCTTGGTCCTTATATTTTCATCAGCAGTGTTCTTTTCCTCCTGGAAGGCGAGTCATTTTTACGCCAATGTACAACAAAGGTGTGATTATATATCAATATTCAAGTTTTTAGATAAGGAGGCGTTCTTTCTTTTCTACACACAGAAAAGATCCACCTAATATTGTTGAAATAACACAGGTGGTCGGGACTGACCTTTAAATACGAGAGATAAGGCCTAATATCCGGATCTTATGAACACCGTGATGAATCATAAAAGGGAATTTCACGACCAGGCCATTTACTTTTAAAGGAAGGCCCTCCTGCACCACGGAGTTTCGTTCCTATCCTCACCCTAGCTGTGTTCCATGCGTTCCGATGCAACTAGCAGCGTTAACTCCTATCATGTGGTCTGTTCAGTTCCCTTAAAGGCACGTCAAAGAGATGCGATCCGTGTGTATGGGGGCTTCGCAGGGGGGGAGGTGTTGATAAAAGCAATTTCACAGGGACAGGCAATGAATGCATCGGAGGTATTGATTTATGACCTGAAGATGCCATGTCAGTTAGCACAACCGTCGCCTTGGCATGGTTTTACTAATAACCTCGAGGCAAATATGGCAATAATAATAATAATAATAATTATAACAATAGAGCTGTAATGGCATCTGAAGCTGGCGACTGCTTCTGAAGGACTCTGATTAACCCTTTGAAGACGAATGAGAAGAGAAAGTAGTGTGAGACGATAAATTTAGAGGGAGAAACAGATAAAGTTTTCGGCTGTGAAGGTTCCCAGGCAGTGTCCATTCGTCCTTCTGGTAAAGGAGTTGCGTTCGGAAGTGAAGAAAATCGAGAAGTTAAGATTAGAATTTTTAATTTTGTTACTAACCTTGCAAAAGATGGAAAGATGGTGGAATGAACAGGTTTTGAACCTATAAGAAAGGAAGAAGAAGAAGAAGACTAGCCCTGCGAGGGTGGCATTTAGTGAAATGCTGATGTTAACTTTGGGGGGGGGGCTACTTTAGGGCGGAATTTTGATGTTAATATTGGGAGGACTCTTGAACAGCGTGGTAGCAATTATACACCAAATGTGGTGTGTTCATAATTTCTTCGTGAATTAAATTACTTCTGCACCATCATTTTCCGAATTTGAAACAGGACTTGCAGGCATTCGTCTAAATATTATTTAAGAATTCTGAACGTGCCTCAACGAAGACTCAACATCACTCCATTACAAAGATTAACTGAGTGATGCTGTTTAAGGATATAATCGCTGTTTACACTGATAATCATACGAAACCCACAATGCACAGTTACTGATTGTTAAAGCAGGTGGTATATATAGTTACCACCTAAGTTTAAAGGGTAAAAAATGTTTGTACTCGGCTCAGCCACGATGTTCATACCAGACATGACGGTTTCAGTACCGTTTGAATGAGTTTGCAGCCTGACTCCAACATTTAGTAGAAGCATTTCCTCCTCGCTAGACATAATGGCTGTGCCACCATGACTCGGTCGTCAGTGCCTCCTCTCTTGCGATGAAGAGATGTGCCATGTGAAGTGTAAGTTTGCTTCAGCATAATATTGCACTATATAGATCACTGTTTAATGTGCAGGGTTGAACATGTAGGTTGTGCAACAAAAAATATCTCGTTTAATTACCAAACTCGTTAAAAAAACGAGAACCTGAGGACCGAGTCATGGCGGTATAATCCTTATACATGCTGAGAAGAAAATACTTCCAAAATTTAGATTGTTACAGTTTGGTAATCAAGTATCGGTTTAATCTGGTTGCTTTGTTAACAGTAGGGAATAACCAGTGCATTTGTGTCAATTTCCAGCCAACAACGTAATAAGGTGTCAGTTCCGAAATACCAACGCACATCTATAGCACGAAGAGATAAGTTAACTTTATCAGTAACGTGACTAATAAGGAGTTACAGATTCTGCAAAAACGCCGTGACGCAATCAACATGATACACTTTTACCATGAAGTGCATCCATGTCTCTTAGCCGGCAGTATGGTGTTGGTTGCGTTCGAGGGTTGACCCAGGAGGAGCGAGTGTCAGGGCGTTGGAAGTGGGAGATTGTTCCTGTAATCTTAGATATGCACTTTTTGTGTTTCTCCGTTTCCGGTCTGGTTGCTTTCTGGCTGCTATGTCTGCAACCGGTTTTGTGCAAGTAATAGGCAAATTGGTGAAGCCATGCTCAGTTTTAGGGTCCACACTGATCAGAATTTGCATGTTTAAAAAATTAAAATTTGTAGAATTTGAGGTTCTCACGAAGATGACTGGGTTGTAGCGCCGAGTAGTGGTGGGAGTATTCCAACGTTTCAGAGGTCCTTGCTGCCTCCATCATCAGGGGGACTAGCTAAGATATTTGAAGACGAGAGATTCTGTTCTGCATGGTAGCAAGCATACACCGAATGTGATGTGTTTATAATTTATTCGTGAATGCTATTAGTTCAGAATTTGAAAGAGGACTTGCAGACACGTACTTGTGAACAGAATGTCGGGGGAGGCGTGCCAGGGAGGAACTCTTACAAACAGGGCGGACAGTTTTACCAGGAAGCAGTAGTCGTCGTCACTCACCTAAATCAATCACGTCTGAAGAACCTTGATCCCACCTAACCCACTTCATCAAAGCCATGTGGATAAGATAAGGCGAGAAACTGCACTTTGGCCTCAAAAATGGAAGAACTTGAAACTTGTGTCGCTCTCTGTATGTGGTACGGGACGGCTGATTTCCCTGCGAAGCGCGAAACTCATCTGAATAGTGTTCAAAGATTCAGTTCTTACCGCAAAGAAAACACGAGTCTCCGTCACAGAGATCAGCGGGTTAATGCAGTTATGAGAATCACACGGAACGCACAAATACACTGTGCACTTAATGCAGAGTTAATGATTGTTGAAGTTGATGGTACTTGCACAGACCACAAGGATCTGAAAGGTTAAGGTCACAGATGAAACCGATACTGTAACCGGGAAGTTGTTCATTTATTAATGATCGAGCTACTTCATCAAGAAATATGCAATTAACTGTGCGGAGGTGGGGCCCAGGAAGGAAAGCATGCGCCTTATTGTTTATTCTTACACCCCTGTATCCAACGCACCGATCCAAGCTAAGCCCTGAGGGCAGAAAGAATGGCTGAGTGCACGTCACCCTGGTTCAAGAATCGGCAGTAGTTGAGGAATTTTTAACCTTTTGGAAGGTAGAGCGAGTTAGCGAGGCAGATGTTCGAAACTGCACCAGTCAGCCAATCCCAGAAGCACCTTCTTCGGTAAAGGTCGGGATGCGGAAAGCGTTATTCTAAGAAGCTGTGCATGAACTATAAAAGAATTTTAAAGAAATGGGCTAGATGAGAAACCGCAAATAAAAGTCCCAAGACAGAACTCAAGAAGTAGGATTTGAGGTTCTCACGTCGGTGAGTACGAAGATGACTGTCTCCTGTATTGTAGAAGTTTACCGACGTTTTCAGATGTGCCTGCTGCCTCCAGAATCAGGGCGATTTGTGTGATTGTTATGCATGAATAAAAACTGGTTACAAGTTACACAAACAGGATACAACGTATGAAAATCACAAAAAAGTTAAATTTCAAATTCCACGTCTTTTGAATCCACGTCACACTTTCTTAATTTCAATATTATTCTCCCCTTTATGGCTGGAACTCTTAAGGCGAAGTAAATTTTTTTATGTATTTCATATTTCCTCGATGATGAGTACGTCTAAATATTTATTGT